GCGCGCGCCACAAATTAACGGCCAGAATGAGGGATGTTCTTTACCCTGGAAGCTCTTACTCAACTGCAGCGCACAAGAAATCTAGTGCATCATTTCACAACACACAGTACAGTGAAACATGCAGCACACGCTTACTTTACACTCGTGCTTATTTAATGAATTGTCGAATTAGAAGCTTGGGTGCATTAGGCAACGTTTAATTACAAAAGCAGAGAGGAGAGATTAAACCGAGGCTGAAAAGAAAGAGAAGTTCTCTGTGCAGTCAGAGTGATGAAAACCATCTGTATCGAGCACACTTGCTACTTTTGCTGAGACCGCAATTAAAACGCACACACGGACACGGCTGAGGACGTGCCTGTATACACACACACACACACACACACACGCACACACGAATTTTAACACTTTGACAAAAATCTTGGGAACCCCCCTCCCATTTACTGGTTTGACCTCAGCTTTTAAGCAGCACAGACACACACACACTCATACACACACATAGACACACCAAAAAAAACACAACCGCCCAGTTTGTTGGCATGTGGTGTGAATTACTCCTTGAACACCCTGTCTGCCCGGGAGTGAGTATGTGTGTTTGTCTGTGTGGGTGTGTGTGTGTGTATGTGTGTGCATATGGCTGTATGTTGGCAGGAGCTGGGGAGGCATGTCTGGCAACAATAAGGGACAATTCCACCCAAATTACCACCCTGATTACCACTATATTAAAGAGCCATTTATGGCTTTCATAAACGCTACAACCAAGCAGAGGTGATGCCTGTCTCCTCTCGTGTGCCTGCATCCATGCATGTGTGAGTGTCTGAGACACAAGAATTAAGTTAAAAATGCAGATATTTATATACATATAAATAATCTGCAAGTTCTGCTGGACAGCAAAGAGGAAAAAATTCCCAGCTAGCTACCATTAGGGCATCTGTATACACCATAGATACAAAAAATGTTTACCGACTAGAACAGATGGTAATACAAGGCGGCTTAGCGTCGGGTATTTTTTCATTATTGATATTTACAGAATCTATTCTATATCGTCAACATCCAACAAAACCTTTCAGCCTTCCCTAATGTCTAAAGCTGTCTGTTTTTAATTACAACAATCTTGGTAACATTTATTTAAACTTAAACCGTAACAAAAGATGACCGTAATACCATGCTGCTATTCCACTGAAACTCACCGAACAATATTATTAAATTGTTTCCTCTCCCTCGGGTACCTGAACTCACTAAAAGGCAGTCAATCATAAATTTCCTGTATTTTTCCTCATCTTGCTCGGTACAGCAACTAACCATAAGTTTGGAGAGGAAGCTCAAGAAGTAGCTGATTATGTAAACATTACTTCATTCTTCCGTTACAAAGATTGCGGTTCAAGAGTGACAACACAAATCGAGATGTTGGGATTTAGAAAATAATGACCTTAGTAAGTTTAAAAAAAAACAAACCTCCTCCTCTTCTTGTGTATTGTCACTTGGAAGCTTGTCTTTAGCACTATTGGCACCATATGTAATTGTCACTCCTTGCTTCCACCACATGTATGGCTTATATTGTGAGGTTTTACTCACACTGTAATAATTCCCATTACCTTGTGGATGAATAAACGGAACCTTGAACTTTCAACTTTGAACAACACTAGAAAGAGGGCCGCAGGCTTAGTGCGCACGCACACAAATGCCACCAGCAACCGCAGCCAAAGCCTCTCAGGTCTACTTTGTCAAGAAGCACTTCTCTTCTCTGACCCTTCTCTTTCATTTCTACTCTTTATGCTCACTCCTTGCCTTTTTCTCTGTGTGACCTGGGCGAGCTGTAGCATTACAAAGCATGCCTCCTGCCCCCTTAACCCACCCACACACTTACACCAGCTCCTCTAAGACTCCCCCCGCTCCCCCTGTGGCATTCTTGGGGGCGCACTGCACCTTTAAAGAAAATATGAGGGAGGCCTAAGAGGGAGGCCCAACAACAGAGTCTTTGTGCTGCCGCTGAGCACTCACACACACACACAAACGCACACGCGCACGCACACACATATACACACATCAGTGGTGTCAGACAGGTTTTATTAGAGTGAGAGAGGGAGGGAGGGAGGGAGGAGGAGGAAGGGGAAGGAGGGGTGAGGAGGTCACTGCTCAGCTTGGAGGCTCGAGAGCACACTGAGTGCGCAAGTGTGTATGTCAGTTTGGTGTGTGAGTTCTTATGACTTGTCATCGCTCCCCTCTGTAAATCATCGCCTCTGACACAGCCTTTAATAACAGTGCATTTTTTAATTCAGCAGGGTCACACACACACACACACACACGGCTACTTTCGCTCAGGTTTCCAAAAAATGCCCGACAACTACGCGTTTAATTGAAATCTGAAAACGACTAGAAGAAAAGAGACGAGAATGGTGATTTTTTTGCTGCAGGTATCTTTACTGCAGTATCTTTATGAACATGTGCACATCTGTATGTCTGAAAATAGCTTCACCTTCACCTACAGCTGGGATGTCACGAATTAAATGTTAGATACAAACTAGAAGGTCTCAACAAACATGTAGCAAATCCGAGCCTCCTAAAGTAGACCTGTGTGTGTCTGTATGTGCGCACCCGTGCCTGGCTCAGGTTGCTAAAGCAAACAGGTCTCTGTGTGTGTGATGAATCTGGCCTCTAATCCGCCCAGTGTGTTTGGGTGACAGAGAGAAAGAGAACGCAGGAATAAGCAAAGAAATCTAAACAGAGAGACACAGTGAAGGAAAAAGGGTGGGGGGGCAGACGCAGGGGAGGGCGAGAGAGAAAGAGACAGGTGGGTACCATATGTTGGAGTAATCCGTCAGCACTGACTGAGGTCCATTGTTGACGGCCGAAACGAAACAAAATCGTCCCCCTTTTACCCTCTCCTCCCCGCATCCCCCCATAGATAAACAGCCCCCGGGGCAGACAGTGGGCTGTCCTTGGGGGAGAAGGAGGAGGAGGAGGAGGAGGAGGAGGCGAGGGAGTTAGGAAGGGCAAGGGGGAGGCAGGTGGTATCAGATTTCTTTGCTCTTAGACCAAGAAGAAGAGTGTACAAAGAAAAGGAGCACAAGTGAGCGCGAGGGAAAAGCTTATTGTTGCATTTAGTGACAAGGGAGCTAAACTAGGCTCTAGCAGCTGGTGATTCACATGTCTGTGCAGCGTCTGAGGCAGTAGATAACTTCAACACCAAACAAATATCCCCAGTCCGCCCCTACTAGCTCAACAGCCTGGGAATGGTGGCTCGTAATGCACCTCGTCTCCAGTGCTCTGTCCGCTCCCTTCTCCGGGAAAGAGCAATAGATGGAGACACGGGCAGATAGATTCAGGGTGAAGATGCAGAAAAGAGCATGTCACACCCTGCTGCTTCTCTAAGGTCTGCATGCCTTCTGATTTTGGATCAGCAGGAGAGGCTGGGTTCAGAAAGAAGTGGACCCCCCCCCCCAACTCTTCCCTCTCTCTTGCTATCTCCTTTCTGGAGGGCTGTTATTGAAGCTGAAAGCCAAGCTAAAGCTGTGTGGATGCTGCCATCCTCCTGGGTCATCCAGTGATCCCTTGTATCCATGTGCACTGCTTCTCCTCACTTTGGCACCAAAAACACCCTCAAACTCCACTAAAATCCCCCCTCGACTTTAATTTACTCCCTCTTTCTCTTTGGCTCGTTCTGTGCTACTCCACTAGTTTTCCTG